AGACGCTTAACGACTGAGCCACCCAGGTGCCCCGAGACCCATTCTTTCTAGTTGTGCTTGAATTGCCCTGAATACACTGAGAAAACTAAACACTGCTCATAGTTTTTTAAAATATGTAATGAGGACGTGTAGCATACCATTAGTCATATTCGTTTATATCACCAATGCTCTGTGACATATAAGAGTTTATTAAAGCTCCTGAATTAACAACAACTATTGTAAGGATATATACGTGACTTGGGGGGGGGGGCAGGGAGGAGCAGAGGGAGAGAGAGGAAGAGAATCTTAAGCAGGCTCCACATCCAGCACAGAGCCTGACATGGGGATGGATCTCACAGCCCTGAGATGATGACCTGAGCCAAAATCAAGAGCTGACCACTTACCCAGCTGAGCCACCCAGGGGCCCCAGGATATAGAAATGATTTTTAAATTTGGATATATTACTGCAAATGGTGAAAAGACCACTTCCTGTTATTTCTGAGTTCATGCTCATCAAATTACTGAAAATCTGGCATAAGGGGAAACACTGATACTTCCTATGTTTGAGAGGGATTAGTCATGTAAATGGAAATTAAAGCAAACATTACAATAATAAGTGTAAATATTAGGAATGTCTCAATGTAGACAATAATTGAATGTGACACCATATGATTTGATATTTCTATATAGATCTAAGTCCAATATAGACCTTAAAAGGTTTTGTACATTAGCTCTCTACCAACAGCTTACCATTAATCCATTTCAATACACTATCAGAAAGTGTAAGTGAAAGAATTATAATGAAGAAGGTGGACTAGGAAAATAATCAAAGTCTATTTAGTACATAGTCTCTAAGTGGCCAATGTACAGAAAATATTGAATTATGGGAATTTAGGTATAATCGATAGATCTCAACCAGTTGTACATACAGATTTAAATCAGTTGTACTTACACCTCAGAATCTCCTGGTTTATTCATAAAAAGTGGGCCACATTAAGTGTCCCCCCCCCCCCCGGGAGATTTTAAACCATTAGGCCCTGGAATAGAGTTTGTGCTTCTGTATTTGTTCAAAATCTTTCTTAGGTCCTTGTGATGATCATGATTGGGGGAGAATCACCCACATAGGACAGTCATTATAGATTAAATTGACAGGAGAAAGCTCCATAAACAAGGGAGACTTCCAGTGCACCATGCCACATGGAAAGGCTTTAAGTGGAGAAGAAAAGAGAAGGGCAAGTCATTTATTAGATAAGCAGAAACTGAGGCAGGAATGGGCAAGGTGTTGTAGGGAAGAAAGTAGGTAGACCATTTTTTTCAGAGTTTAAGGCAAATAAAGATGGTAATGTCCATTTAATGAGGTAATTGGAAGTAATACAATTCAGAATTGTATTACTGAAAAATACAATTCAGTAGAGGAATGAATCCAGATTTAGGGCTTAGGAAATGAATGAGTGATGGGGAATGAAGACAGTGAGTATTTAGAGCACTCATCTGAGAATTTGGCAGGGGAGGGAAAGTGAAAAATAGAATGGAATTTAAATAGGAAGTGAAGGATCAAGAGGAGATTTTTTTTTTTCTCCTCAGGAGAAAAATTGCCTGAACATGTTTGTAGGCAATGGAAAGAAATCCAGAGGAGAAGAAAAGAGTAGATATTTTAGAGCAGGTAAAATTGGGATTTGTATCTCCAGGCGTTTTTAATATATTTGTGTAAGGACTAAAATTAATTACAGTGAAGTTACACCAGTTTAATTAGAATTTAAATCAGAGTAAATTAAGGGGAAAGGGGAATCACCACCAAAAGGTCTTTAAAAAAAAAAAAAGTCTGCAAGAAAGTTCTGGGCAAAAGTGGACAATACTAAAACCAAAGACAGTCTCTGCTAACCCTACCTATTTTCTCCATTTGATCCTAGATCCACAAACTGTGGGAGTAATTGAGAATAGATGTGAATACTAAATGGAAAAGTTCCAGTTAGAAGATGTAGACAGGTACAGATAATCTGAGCTAAACTGGAGCCAAGTTGTACCTCTACTCTCCACCAGAGGAGCAGATGACTGGTTAAGGGGAGTGCGGGCTGCTGCCTCAAAACTCACTAGTTTGACAGCCTCTTCCTTGGAATAATCTCTTAAGGTTTGTGTACTAAAGACTCCAAAGCACAGACATTTTTATTTTTTATTTAAAAAAAAAAAAAATTTTTTTTAAGATTTTTTTTTTTTTTTATTTGAGAGAGAGAGAATGAGAGACAGAGAGCATGAGAAGGAGGAAGGTCAGAGGGAGAAGCAGACTCCCCGCCGAGCAGGGACCCGATGCGGGACTCGATCCCGGGACTCCAGGATCATGACCCGAGCCGAAGGCAGTCACCCAACCAACTGAGCCACCCAGGCGCCCAAGCACAGACATTTTTAAAAAGAATTCCAGGCATAAAAAAGGAGACTGGCTTGGTTGGATGAAAATAACAGTGATTTTTTAAGAACAGTTTATCAACTCAGGATAGGATAGGTCAACAGCAACCACTCTTACTAGGTTATGACTTGACAGAAGTGGTCATTGAGCAAGATTATTCTGCCAGAATGGCCTGGAGTGGGTAAAAGAATACAGACAGATGTGTAAAGCTCTTGCTCTCCTGCCAAATGTGAGGTGCTGAGGGTCAGAGCCGATGCCAACTGTGTTTCATTTTATGTCACTGGACATAAAATTCTAATTAATTATTTGAAGATCATAGTAGAGTATGGCTTATTTTTTATAGGATGGTTTTACTTTGTTTTTAAACTTGTATGATACTTTGTTAAGTATCAAAGCACCGCGGTGTTTAATTATTTCATTTGACACTCAGAGAAACTTTCTGCAGTTGAGAGAATACTTTTCCAGCCTATTCTAAGAGGTAACAGAGATTCAGAGCAGTTTAACAAGTTAACTCATTGAATAAATGTCAGTGTGTGCCAGTCACTCTTATAGTTAGGGTTATATATTTGGCTAATGCCCGAGCTACAGTCAGAATTCTTGATCTTGATCTTGGATGTTGATGGAAACATAGCCTCATTGCATTTATTCAGGACTGTTCTTTAGGAGGCTACTTGCACACAAAGCCCAAGATGCAAGTCTTGGTAAATTTATATGTTGAGATGTACCAAAAAACATAAGCCTTTTGGGTATGACCTACAAAAGAAAGGTTTTTATATTTGATATGTGGTATGTCTCATACACTTTTTTATGGAGCAGGATCATATACATCTTTTTAAAATACCTTTGTATACGGATTAAAGGTTTAGACTCCTTAATTACATAACCCACAGGGTATAAGGTATGTGTCAGCAACCATGATAAAACATATTTTACGAAGCAATTTTAAATTTAAAAGCTGTACAGCTTGATTTCCTTGCATTCTGTAAAGCATTTTCAAGCAAATAGATGCTTTACACCTCAGTCATAGAGTCATCAGAGAATGAGTTCTAGTAGGCAGAACCCGAAGAGTTCAGATAAAACTCTTAAGATTAGTTGAAACAAAAAACCACCAAATCTTGATTTGGTCAAATCTTATTTTGAAACAGAGGTTCTGAAGTGAGATTTACAGTAGTCATTTCTGGAATAGAAAAACAGACAGTATGGGGCACCTGGGTCACTCAGTCAGTTGAGCACCTGACTCTTGATTTCAGCTCAGGTCAGGATCCTGGGGTTGTGAGATGGAGACCCAGAAGGGGCTCCACGCTGGCCATCAACCCTGCTTAAGATTCTCTCTCTCCCTAAGTCCCCCACACTCTCCCTCTCTTAAAAAAAAAAAAGTAGACGTTATTTTCTAAGTTGTCTACCCAGCGTTTTCCCCCCTCCCATATAAACTAAGAAACTTCATTCTTTTGACGAGTATGCCTTCAATATGTTCAAGTTACAGATGGAGTCCTGAGTCTTTCAACATTTTTTAGGATCTACTTGTCTTGATTATTGGGCTGAAAATTCTAGGCGTGTGCATATATGTACATATGCACTTAACACACATGTACCTAGCTTCCAATTTTTAAATTTTAAAACTGTATATTTTTAGTTATTATTACAGAGAGATTAACAATGACTAGAGAAAATAAGGCACGAAAAGTGTGTTTCCTCCGTAACACGTCTGAACGCTAGAAGCGAAAGTCACACTTCTGTTGGTTTCTACACGGTGCTGTAAACAGTTTCCACGTTCCTTGTCCACATGGTCTTCCTGCTTTCCCAGGGTGGAGAGTCTTTCTCTTCATGTTGATGTGGTCAGACTAGTCAAGTGACTGCAGAAAAGGCACATTCCTTAGTCAACCTTATGTTGTCTGCCCTCTGTCCTTGAATCATAGTTACTGGCTTTATGGACCAGAGCAAATGAAGTCTTGAACCCTACCTACAGCAGAGACTAGACACCAGCTTCGGATGCACCATAAACGGAACAGTCAAGGCGGCTCCAGCACACGGTTTATGTTTGAGTCGCGATGAGCTAGCTATAAGGCAAGGCCATGAAGAAGAGGATCTCCATTCGGATTTAAGGGTGGGTGACACCGCAAGGTTTTTCTTCCCCTTTTCCGTAACCGGATGGGAACCCTTACTTGGGCCGGCCCCCTCTAAGTGGCAACACAGCTGACACTCTAAGATGAAACACTCTGCCCGTTCTGTCAATGGCCGGTCCCTAAATTCACGTCGCTCAGCCCCACATTCCCACTCGGAAAGCCCACAACCGATAGGGCCCTTAATCCATTCCGGCCACAGGGACAAATCATGGAAGCCAGAGAGACAGGAAGGCACCAGAGCGGGTGCCCGCCTCTTCCAGGCCGCGCGCCGAAATCAAACCCGACCCTGGATCTCTCGGGGCGGTGCCACGCGCGCTCCGCTCCCTCCGCCGACCAAGCCGCGGCCGACGCCCGCCCGCCCAGCCACGGAGCTGCGCGGGGGGGCGCCTCAACGCAGCGGGGAAAGGCTGGTCAAGAAGGAAGAGACGCGGGAGGCGCGCTCTGCGCACGCGCGCGGCGCCCCGCCTCCCCAGCGTCGGCTCCCGGGCGGGCGGCGCGGGCCCTCCCACTGTCCCCCGCGCCGCCTGACGGCCCCGGCCCTCGCTTCACCCCGACGCCCCGGCGTGCGCGTCCTCCCGTCGGCCTGCAGGCCCGGGGCCTCCGCCTGCTTCCCTGCCGCTGCTCCTCGCGGCCCCGACTCGCGTTCACGCTGTCGCCCGGGCCGGCGCGGCCGCGGGCAACCGCTCCCCCTCCCACACCCACCCCGCCCCCTCCCCGCCTTTTCCGCCCTCCAGTCCCCCTCCCTCGGCCCGCCGCCGCTGCTCCAGATGAGGTGATGGCAACGGCCAACTTCGGCAAGATCCAGATCGGGATTTACGTGGAGATCAAGCGGAGCGATGGTGAGCCGCGCCGCCGCCCCTACCGGCCGGGCCCCGCATTCGGGTGTTCATGGAGGGGACGCGGGGCCGGCCGCCTCATTGATTGCTCCGCCGGGCTGTGGGGGCGGGAAGGCGGCGGCCGCGGCGCTTTTGTGTGTGGCGTGTGTGCGAGTGAGGCCGGCGTGGGGTCCGCCCCGGGTGCCGCTGCAGTGCGGGGGGCGGGGAGGGGCCGCTGGCGATGGCCTGGGTGTCGCGGCCGCACCTCTGGGGGTTCGGGCGGGTGAGGCGGACGGTCCCGGGACAGGGGTCCCCGCTCTTCCTGCGATCTCCATCCTCCCCGGGGACTCCAGCCCGCGGGGCCGGGGGCAGCGGGCTTCTTTAGGGAGGACCCAGCCTCGCGTTTCACCCCGGCCTTTTCATTTTCCAGCAGTATCTCGGGGGTGGGGTGGGGTGGGGAGAGCGTGGAGACCAGGGGTTTCAGTGTTTAGAGAACCGACTACCGGCCCGATGCAGGGGGAAAAAGGCCAACCCTGAAGCTGGTCAGGCTTCTTCGCCCGTCGCTTCTCGAGCATGCCTTTCTTTTTTTTTTTTTGCTAGTCCCTTCCTTGGAAGAAGGATGCGGAGAACGTCGTGCTCGGCCATGAATATGTGGGGGTGGGGGGGAGCGGGGGGAAGAAGTGTTCGATAAGCTTCTCAGAGGTGATGAGGCTGAAAGGGAAGGAGAGGGATGAGCCCAGTCAACGCGATGCATTACCGAGAGGGTGGGGTGGGCGACCGGATGTTGATATTTTTCACACCCTCTGGAGAGGTAACTGAGAGAGAAGTGTAAGATGAGGTGAACATACATGCTTAATTCAAAAGAAAAGAAAAAAAGCCTTAGGCTTACGTATCTTTTTTAGGCTCCTCTTGGGGAAAATGTTTTATGTCACTAGGTTGGGGTGTGGAGTGAGACGCTAGCCAGGCTTGGAAATAATTTATATTGTAAAGGAGAAAACGCATGGAGAGAGAGAAGTACAATTTTCTTTCAATTCGAATATTGGAAGAGCTAGAGATATGTAATAGGTGTGTGCGGTGTTCATGACTCCATCTCCCTGACACCTTTATTTATGGCTTTTTATCCTCTTGCCTAGTCAGTAGTAACGTTGCTATCACATCCACACCCTCCTGGTTTCTAAGCAAGTTTGACCAAGTTATGTGAAGCTAGGTTGACTTCCCTGTTACCTGTGTGATATATTGTTAGACCTCATATAGCGAATGATTTTTTTCCCCTTCTATTTGAGATAATTTGCATTAACAGCCGGAAACATCATTACCCTGTATGTGAAAAGATCGCGTATACCGCTTAGAGCTTTAGTAGTTACCAGTAACACCACTGGGAAAGCGATGTCTCCTTTTCTTGGGTTGGGGTTTCTTTTTATTTTCTCTTCCAATTACCGTCCTTAAACAGTACTGTTACTGTCATTTCTTTTTTAGGTGAACGAGGGTTCACTGCATTCCAATGAAAGTAGGATTTGCATATAAAATTTGGGGGTGCAATAAAATGTGTTAAGTTCTTTACATTCTAAGCCTTTGTGATTGTAGGTGTTACTACAAAACATATTTAATTTATTTTTTTAAAGATTTTATTTATTTATTTGACAGAGAGAAACACACCGAGACAGGGAACACAAGCAGGGGGAGTGGGAGAGGGAGAAGCAGGCTTCCCGCGGAGCAGGGAGCCCGATGCGGGGCTCGATCCCAGGACCCTGGGATCATGACCTGAGCCGAGGGCAGACGCTTAACGACTGCGCCACTCAGTCGCCCCCTACAAAACATATTTTAAAAAACCAGTATCATATGGCATTTGAAAGCTTTGTATTTTTTTATTTTTTCTAAACAGTTTTTTTGTTTAAACGCATAACTTGAAATAATTTTGGTTCATTTTAGGGTTCTAGGACAGAGACTTTTAATAGTCTTTGAGCCTTTGCCCTTTTGCCTTTACCAGAAATCCAAACATATATATCAGAGCTTTGTGTTCTTCTATAGGTGCTAATAACCTAAAGTCACATTTCAAAGCAGTTTGTCGATTAGGTCATAATGGAAATTGTTACAATGTGTATTATCCCAACCTTTAGTCATATACCTATTTATGCCCCTCAGATGCATGATGGAATTGGTGGAAGGTAAAAGTAGATAACTTGAAGGGAATGGTCATTTGCATTGGATAGTGGTGTGTCACAGTAGAAAAAAAAATGCCTGGGAAACTCCCCACAAGCTTTCTTTTTTCACATTAAAGAAGCTGTTTTGTTTCCTTCCACTTCTATAGCACATCTGTATTGGATAAAACACTAGTGGTTATTGTAACAAAAATAAACTTTGTAGTTGGATGAGCACTAATGTAATGCCTGAGACAATGGAAATCACATGAGTGAAGAAGGGCTGCTGTAGGGCGCCTGGGTGGCTCAGTTGGTTAAGCGACTGCCTTCGGCTCAGGTCGTGATCCTGGAGTCCCTGGATCGAGTCCCGCATCGGGCTCCCTGCTCGGCGGGGAGCCTGCTTCCCCCTCTGACCCTCCCCCCTCTCATGTGCTCTCTCTCTCAAATAAATAAATAAAATCTTTAAAAAAAAAAAAAGGGCTGCTGTAGACCGCTATTAACTGGTGACTTGATGTTCCGCATGCTTCCTAATGGTGATACTTGTCCTTGTTTCAGAGCATGCTTCTCCAATCTGATGCTCATATAGAAATAAAACATATTCTGAGGGCCAACAGGTAAACTAAAATGAATTTATTCTTATCTTTAAAGGCCCTGCTCAAAACTAATCCCATTACGTCTTCACTAATTACTAAAACCAGATGGATAGTCAGCCTCTGAATTCCTAAGTCATTCTGTATCATTCATGAAGCAGCATATTTCCTGAAGTATTAATATTTGGGTATATTTCTTTTAATATTATATTTTCAAACTGCACTGGAGGTGAGGTGGTGTAGAGAATCCAATTGAGGGATGGCAGGCTACCCACATCCACTTCAACCACAGTCAGGGTGTTATGGGATTAAAATACTTATAGCCTCTTCAGTTTCCTGAATTCATCTGTGTATCTCCTCCATGTGCCTAGCAGAGGTTCTTGCATATAGTTTTTGAGTGAATCATTCATTATTGGATCTTTGGTTTTCAAACATTTAAGTTAACCATTCTGATGACATCTTACCTGGAAGATAAGGTAGGCTATCTAGGCTACCATCTCCTTATTCTGCTCCACCCCACTCCATTCAGGCCTCTTAGTACAACATCCCCAGAGTTGACTGGAATTGAGTGATCTGCTAAAGCTAATCTGACATTTCTGGTCTTCTGAAGTTAAAAATGACAGAGATCAGATGTACTGAGATTGTTCCCCACCACAGGCAATAACCTGTTACGAAATTAGACTAGTTTCTGGAATTGGATAGTCATGTATAATTTATTTTTTTGCATGTGGCTTCCTATTACCCTTTTGATTCAACTCATTTTTGGAATCCAGTGACTCTAAAACCTGCACTCTTACTGTTACATAGCTAGATAGCTTTTTTTTTTTTTTTTTAGATTTTATGTATTTCACAGTGTGCACAAATGGGGAGTGGCAGGCAGAGGGAGAGGGAGAAGCAGGCTCCCCACTGAGCAGGGAGGCTGACATGGGGCTCCATCCCAGGATTCTGGGATCATGACCTGACGTGAAGGCAGAGGCTTCACCAACTGAGCCACCCAGTCACCATAGCTAGGTAGTCTTTATTGGGAAATCTGAAAAGCACTGTTAAAACATCTCTCACCTGTTTGACAGTGTCTGTAATTATCCTTTAGAGACTGGGGGAGGGATGAGAAATGTTTTGAATATTTGGAAGCTGCAACTCTGATGGGATTGTTTTCTGGGGTCTCTTAGTCACAGCATTGATATATGTGATCTGAAGAGAAAGATCAACCAGAAAGATCCTTGAAGTTAATCTAGTTCTCATTTTTATAAATATGGAAACAGAGTCCCAAGTCACCTTAAGGGACTTGTCTGGATTCTCACAGCTTGTAGTGGCAGCCAGGAACCTGTCTTGCATAGCACAGAAACCAGACTATTAAGAACTGTGGCAGTAAAGGGAGAATTCTGTTATTTAGGAACCATACACAGCTTTCTACAGCCCAATAAGGATGTGTAGGAAATTGCTTCTCAGTCATAGGGCGCTAGGGAGCAGTGTTATAGAGCCCAGTTGGAATGATCTGGTAAAAAGTGATAATGGTATAGTAACTAGAAGATCACAGTGTTGGTGAAAAGAATGCTTTAATTAAGCATCTGAAATCATGAAGGTAAAGATTTCAAAGGATTTATCGGGAATCTTGGAGTTTAGAGCAGGCAATCTTTAGGAAAGATTTTAAATGGCCTAATTCTCCTACCTATTTTGCCATATTTATTCTTTGCTAGTTCATCTTTGCATGTCATATGTAGACTTTGGAGAATGGACTGTGTGAATGTAGGTAATAAAAATGAACAACGTAGCAATACAGTTGTTGTTTAGGTACCATTATGTGGCTCTGTGGAGTGAGTGGAATGGGGAAATTTGTGGATTAATAATTTCCTTTTACATGGTAAGTAACATGATAATGCTTCCATATATGTATAGTTAGGCCTTCATAGTTTTCTTTAAAATCAGTTAGGTAACATATAGTGTATTATTAGCTTCAGAGCTAGAGTTTAGTGGTTCATCAGTTGCTTATAGCACCCAGTGCTCATTATATCACGTACCCTCCTTAATATCCATCACCCAGTTACCCCATGCCCCCACCTCCCTCTGCCTAGCAACCCTCAGTTTGTTTCCTTTGATCAAGAGTTTTTTATGATTTGCCTCACTCTGATTTCATCTTATTTTATTTTATTTATTTATTTATTTATTTTAAAAGATTTTATTTATTTGTTTGACAGAGAGAGACACAGCGAGAGAGGGAACACAAGCAGGGGGAGTGGGAGAGGGAGAAGCAGGCTTCCCGTGGAGCAGGGAGCCCGATGCGGGGCTCGATCCCAGG